AGATTTATAAACAAGGCCAGACCTTTGGGTCCTAGAAATGTGCTTGCCAGGTGAGGCCTTCGTTGGGCAGAGCTCATTCCTGCCTGCCAGGCCATCCTCCTCCTCCTCCAGGTCCACGCTGGCTCACCTCCCTTAACCCCCACCTCCACCCAAGCCAACCTGGGGACAGGTGCAGTCAGGCCGGGTGTGGCATGTGTGATGTGTGGGCCCTTCACAATCCCTACTGAACTCTGGCCCTCACAGAGCAAAGGCTACCCTGAACATCCACTTTCCTTCCCCTGCCCCTCTCTATGCTGTCCTTCAGAAGCAGGAGGAGAAGAAGGGACATGACATTAGGGGCTACCTTCTGTGTGCCAGGCAAGTGCTGACGACTTTACATGCCTCCATCCACTGGATCCTCTCTTGCCCCCTAACGATATGTGGCAATATCCCCTAATGAATCTCCCTGTCTTTACCCTGACAGTCTGCTATCAACACAGCAGCTAGGATGAGCCTTTTGCAATGTAAGCCAGGTCACTCCTGCTCAAAGCCTTCCAGTGGCTGCCTCTCTTTCTCAGAGAAAATGCCAGCCTCTACCAACTAGTGCTGTGACCTTCAGCAAATCACGCCTCCTCTCTGCTTCATTTCTGCCCATGTAAAATGCAGGGAGCATTTCTCTCTTAGCATCATTGTGAGTGGTGTTAAGTGCATTAACAGCAGTAACTGCTTGGAATGAGATGTGGTGTGTGGAAAGTACTAAATAAATGTTAGCTTGATCATTATTGTCATTACCATAGCCATAGAGCCCTCTGCAATCTGGCCCAAGTGCTGCTGCCTTGCATTTCGCTCGAGAGCTGGGCACACTTCCCGCCTCAGGACCTTTGCACCTGCAGCTCCTGTGCTGGAAACACCTTACCTCTCCTCAAAGATCACCTTCTTAATTAGGCTGTCCCTGCCCACCCTCTTTAACATGCATCCGTGCCCACTTCCAATGCCCCCTAACCTGCTTCATTTTCCTCCATAGCACATATCAGCATCTGGCACATGACATCTCTATGTCTCATGTATTCACCATCTGACACCCACTACATGCAAGTAGTGTAAGCTCTATGGAGACAGCGATTTTTGCCTGTCTTGTTCACAACTGTATCTCCAACACCCAGAGCAGTGCTTGGCACACAGTGGCAACTCAGTAATTGTTGAATCAATGGAGGAATCTTTACAACAGCCCTAAGAGACAGTTATTTGTACCCCCATTTTATAGAGGAAGAAAGGGAGGCTTAGTAAGGCTGGGAGTTTGCCTGAGGCTGCAACTTGAAGGATGGGAGTTGGTGGACCCCACGGCCCTGCACTGTGTGTCTAAGCTGTGTGGCCTCCTTGCCATGTGTCTAATGATCATCTGCCCACCCACTTCCCTGCCCTGGCACAGTGCTTTGCCTTAAGTGGGAGGGGCTCCAGAAGTGGCAGGAAGGCATGAAGGTATTTATGTGTTTCAGTCAGCTTGGGCTACTATAACAAAATGCCGTAGACTGGGTGGCTTAAACCCTGGAAGTGTATTTGGTCACAGTTCTGCAGGCTGAGAGTCTGAGATCAAGTTGCCAGCATGATCAGGTTCTGATGAGGGCACCTGTTCCTGGCTTGCAGATGGCCACCTTCTCAATATGTCCCCACATGGTGGAGGAAGAGGAAAAAGAGGATGGGAGAGGTTTGATTTATTTATTTTTGCAACAGGGTCTTGATCTGTCACCCAGGCTGGAGGCCACCCTGGAGTGCAGTGGTGGTGCGATCACGGCTCACTGCAGCCTTGAATTCCTGGACTCAAGTGATCCTCTCACTCAGCCTCCTGAGTAGCTAGAACTACAGGCATGTACCACCATGCCCAGCTAATTTTTTTAAATGTAGAGTCAAGGCCTTGCTATGTTGCCTAGGCTGGTCTTGAACTCCTGGGCTCAACTAATCCCCCTGCTTCAGCCTCCCAAAATGTTGTGATTACAGATATGAGCCACTGCACCCAGCCAGGAAAGAGAGCTCGTCTTAGAAGGCCACAGTCCTATTGGATGAGGGCCCTGCTCTGATGACCTTCCTTAACATTAGTTACCCCCTAAAGACCTTATCTCCAAATACAGTCACATGTGGGGTTAGGGCTTGAACATATGAACATTGAGGAGACATACCGAGTCCATAGCAGTATTTCCAAAGCCATCAAGAGGAGGCGGTGGCCCTGGAGAGAGTCGTGTGCTGCTCCCTGCAGTGATTGTATTCAGACCATGGAATGCATCACTCAGCCCTGTCCTGAGTCCTCTGCGGATTGGTGAGGTGATGAGCACAATCTCATTTGACCCTCAAAATAACCGCATAAGGTAGTTGTTATTATCCCCGTTCTACAGGTAGAGAAACTAAGGCTCAGAAAGGAGAGCTGACTTGGCCAAGGACCCCCAACCCCAGCTGGAAAGTGTCAGGTCTCTCTGATTCCAAAGCCTATATGCTCTCAACTACTCTGTGAAATTCCCTTGGAACAGCCAGGGGACACCGACCTGGGCCCATGGGACTGAAGTGGGATGGACCTGCCCTCCAGGAGCCTGATGCCCTGCTGGGGCACGATGCACACATGGGATGTGGAGTGGGCCTAAGTGCCAAGTGCAGGCTCTGCTAACAAGTGCAGAAGGAGCCCAGACATCAGCGTGGGCTGGGCGGGTCACCAAGGGTGGGAAGGGTCCCGCTGGCTGAAGAGCAAGAGGGAGGGCGTTTCAGGCCAAGCCGCACAATCTCCATGTGCAGGACCACGCAAGTGTAGCAGGCAGGGGACAGTGAGCTCGGCAGTTGCTGGAGGACAGAAGGCTGAAGGGCAGATGTGGCAGGAAAGCTGAGAGGTGGGCGGAGGTCAGGTGCTGGCAGGTCTGGAATGTCACTGAGGTTCTGCAGCAGGTGGTATTCGTGTGCTCTTTCTGTAGTGGGGGCAGGAAGGCCTAGGGAGATAGTTGGCGTTAGTAGGGTATCAACCTGAGCAGGGTCCACAGGGCTGTGTTTGTTATGTGGCCAGCTAGAGAGGGTAGGTTCAGGTAAAGAAAATGGGACTGGGTGCAGTGGCTCAGCCTGTAATCCCAGCACTTTGGGAGGCCGAGACGGGCGGATCACGAGGTCAGGAGATCAAGACCATCCTGGCTAACACGGTGAAACCCCGTCTCTACTAAAAAAATACAAAAAACTAGCCGGGCGAGGTGGCGGGGGCCTGTAGTCCCACCTACTCGGGAGGCTGAGGCAGGAGAATGGCGTGAACCCAGGAGGTGGAGCTTGCAGTGAGCTGAGATCCGTCCACTGCACTCCAGCCTGGGTGACAGAGCGAGACTCCGTCTCAAAAAAAAAAAAAAAAAGAAAAAAAAAGAAAAGAAAACGGGTTGGCATGAGGCTCACACCAAAGCACAGAGCTGAGCTTCACTTCCCTCAGATGGCAGCTGCCAGTAGTCCCAGGCCTGCCTCGCCGCAACAGCTGAGGCCTTAGGAAAGGTCATGTGGCTGGTAGGACCCTCAGAGAGTGTCTGACTTTGTCATGCTCACCAGCAAGGTTTCTTTATCTTTTTTTCTTTTCTTTTCTTTTTTCTTCTTTTCTTCTCTTTTCTTTTGAGATGGAGTCTCACTCTTGTTGCCCAGGCTGGAGTTCAGTGGCACAATCTTGGCTCACTGCAACCTCCGCATCCCAGGTTCAAGTGATTCTCATGTCTCAGCCTCCCAAGTAGCTGGGGCTACAGGTGTGCTCCACCACACCCAGTTAATTTCTGTACTTTTAGTAGAGACGGGGTTTCACCATGTTGGCCAGACTGGTCTCGAACTCCTGACTTCAAGTGATCTGCCCTCCTCAGCCTCCCAAAGTGCTGGGATTGATTACTGGTGTGAGCCACAGAGCGCAGCCTCACCAGCAAGTTTTCAAGCCCCTCACTTGAGGGCCCATTCAACCAGTGGTGTGCTGGCAAATGCTTACACTGGGCTCTTGGGGGAGGAAGCTGAGGCAATTCTGTAGGATTTGACTTGTATGGTGTAAATACTCCCATCACAGCCACAATCAAGCTACCAACACCATGTGACCAAACACAGAGCAGGGAAGAGATTGACACTGTGGGCTCTTATGAGCCCATCTGAGCTGGCTCCAACTCTCCCTGCATGTAAACTTTAAACTCTCATATGTGTGCATGCACACACACATACACACATGCTCCACCAACTTTCAGAATCACCACCACATTCTACTTACACCCCGTCACTATAACAGCACTTACTAGCAGGGGCCCTGGAGGAAGGAGCCCACACTCTGGATATCCCTCAGCCTCTGGGCTTTGAGTCCCAATCGGACCTTCCCCTAGAGGGTGCTTGGTGGCTCATCACAGCTCCAAACATGAGTCCTGGGAGAACCCTTGGGGCGGGTCCAAATGCTCCACACGTTGACATCGAGGGCGTGGCCTCCCCAGCAGTCCAAAAGCACCAAAGTCACAGAGCCCCTCAGTTAGACCTAAGTCCCAGAAGGAGACGGGGAGCAGTCTGAGACAAAGGGAATGCCAACGTCACACTGGGGTGTTCGGGGCTGCAGATTGCCAGCTTTCATGTTACTTGCCAAAGACCCATCTTAGCATCTTGCATCGTCTTACCTTCCTTCTCCTCCTAGAGGAGACTCTAAGTGGCTGGAGATGAGAGCTGAAGGGGCTGAAGGTACCCCAGGCGATGAACCACAGCTGTCCTGCTGTGCTGACCCAGGTGGTGGTTCAGGGAGACAGAGGCAGCCAGACCTGGAAGCCAGTAGTGGGGCTCCCGCTCCAGCTGGCCACCTGTGCAGGGGCCCAGCTGCCTGTGGGGAGGCCACCGGTCAGCTGAGGCCTTTGTGAGGATGTGGAGCTTGAGTTGGTAAGGATGTCTGAGCTGGTGTCCCCGTGGGCTCCCATGTGAGTCCGGGGCCCCCAAGGGTGCTCTTGTTGTCCCAAGAAACCTTACCCCTTCTCTCCTGGTTGCCCTTCCTTCCTCACCACCCACTATAGGTTTTTCATCATCAAAGAGAGCTTTCTGCTTTACTACTCTGAGAGCGAAAAAAAGAGCTTTGAAACCAATAAATACTTCAATATACATCCTAAGGTGAGGCGGCCCCTGCCAGAGCCACAGCAGGGGAGGGCCCAGTGTGGGCATCAGGGCTTGCATCTTGTGAGGGGATGGGACTGCTGTCTTGCTCTGGCCTAGCAGACAGTCTGGAGGGCAAATCCTCTTGGGGAAAAAGACCTCCTGCCCCTGTCCTGGGCTGGATCCCCACCCTTCTGTGCCCCAGACCCTTCCCCAGCCCTTCCTCTTCTCTCTGGACATCAATTCTGGCCTCTGTCCTGTAGCCCCAGGGTCTAGCTTCCATCCTGGAGCACTTGGCAGGATATGGCTTTGTCCAGGGGCTCCCAGAACCCCTGAGTGATCCCAATTGGGTGGGGTGGGGGCTGCCTGTTCTGGTTCTTCCTCAGGGCGTCATCCCTCTCGGGGGTTGCCTGGTGGAGCCCAAGGAAGAGCCCAGCATGCCCTATGCCATGAAGATCTCACACCAGGACTTCCATGTGAGTAAAGCTCTTTCCTCAGTCTGGGCTTCGCAGGAGCAGACCAGCCTCTCAGGCCCCTTCAGGAGAAACCCCCCATGTCCTGGCCTGGGAGAGAGGCATCAGCACCCAGGGATGTGGGGTGGGTGACAGGGCAGAACTGGGCCTCCATCACCCTCAGCGTGGCTGCCTCTCAGGCATGCCCATGGCTCCTCTTCCTGGCAGGGGAACATCCTGCTTGCGGCTGAGTCGGAGTTTGAGCAGACCCAGTGGCTGGAGATGCTGCAAGAGTCTGGGAAGGTGTAAGTGCTCACAGCCAGCAGGGTGGCTGATCCTGCGGATCCAGGACGGGGTGGGCAGGGCTGCCCCGAACTCCCTGCCTCTCTGCTGGGATCCTGGTGGGGACAGGGCCAGGGCTGTGGGAGATGGCTAGGGTGGGTGAGAGCAGACAGGCCAGGTTTTAGAGCATCTGTGAGGGGTCCCCTGAGTGAGCTTGGAAAGTGTCTAGGTCACAGGTGGCAGGTGTAGGTACCATTTGTCTCCAACTCTTGGGAGTTGTATTTGATGCCTCCTGATACCCATCTCACCTCCCCAGGTCCATAATTAATTCTAGCAAGGACTAGAGCTAATGCTTTGTAAATTAGGGTCAAGATCACAGAAATCCCCAGCTAACCCAGTCCATTTGCATGTAAACCACTGTCCTGACACCTGCCTAGTCAGGCTAAGTCATGCTTTTAGTTCAACAAACAACACCGACTGTGTGCTCTGTGGCAGGCCTTGCACTGGGTAGTGGACATTCAGTGACGTAAAAAGCCACCCAGGAAGCAATTTCTTCCCTGCTCTAAAAGTGCTGTTGGCCCAGCCCCCAGTGGCCCACTTTGCAGCCTGGGCCAGCCTCCAGCGACTGTAACGGATCCATGCTGGTGGCATGCCCAGAGCTATGGGTGCCAGAGTGAACGCAAGCTGAGATTCTGGAGGAGAAAGGGTGGGCGAGTACAAAACGTATGCCTTCTCTTTCCCCTCTACCCTTCCGTTTTAATGATTTTCTGTTTCTTCCTCTTCCCTCCTCTATCCCATCTGCCCTCCCTCCCCAGGACCTGGAAGAATGCCCAGCTGGGAGAAGCCATGATCAAAAGCCTGGAGGCCCAGGGGCTGCAGTTGGCTAAGGAAAAGCAGGAGTATTTAGGTTGGCTGGAGGGGTGGTTCCCTAATGGTAGCAGCACGTGGGGACCAGGGGCTATAGCCAGGGGCTTGGTAAAGGACCCAGCAGGGGTGAGGGTCTCTCAGGTGGGGCTATGGGGGGACAGAGACCAGGTTCGGCACCTGGAGGGCTTTCTGGTGCAGTATGCATCCTTTTGGCCAGCATGACCAAAGGCAGGAGCATCTGGTGGTTAAGAGCCCGGGCTCTGGATCCAGTTTCATCACTTGTCATCCATCTATCAACTGTGTATATCTTTAGGCAGCTCAGCCTCTCTAAGCCTCAATTTCCTCATCCTTAAAATCGAGTTAAAAATAGTCTCTAGCTTTTAGAGGATTGAGTTAAATGAGAAAATGTCTGTAAGTGCTTGAGCCAGACATGCAGTAAGGGCTCCATAAGTGGAGCTGATGTCGTTATCCTATCCTGGGTCCCCAGGGTCTGGCTTGTCCCCAGCACCCTTGCCCCAGACCATTTTAAACCTTGCCACCGCATTCCAGGTCCTTGTGCCCCTGAGTGGTTGGTAAACGTGCACTGTTTGGGGGAGAAGATGAGACTGAGGGTTTGCCCTCAGCCTGGGACCCTCTCCCCTCTGTCTGCTTAGACACTTGGGGCCCCAGCACTGGCTCCCCTATGCCTGCTTCAGAACCTCCCCTGCCCCAGGACTCTGCCCTCCCTACTAGCCAGACATTAGTGCAGGTGGAAGGTGGGTGTGGGACTAGCCCAGATGCAGCAGCCCTGGGGGATGCAGAGACCATTTTGAACTTCCAAGGATGAGGCCCCTCATAACCCTGTGAATAGAAAAAGCAGGATGATGATGGGGAAGGAGAGTGGCAGCTTCCATCACCAGGAGATGGTCCACCCTCTGGCTGGCAGGGTTGCAGGCCCCTTCCTTGGGAGATGCTGGGGGTGACAGCGATCACCTCAGGCACCAACTCCCTCAGGACCTCAGAGCACTTTCCTGATTGTGTGTGTGTGTGTGTGTGTGTGTGTGTGTGTGTGTGCTTGTTTTGGCAGACAAACTGATGGAAGAGACCGAAGAACTCTGCCTTCAGAGGGAGCAGAGAGAGGTAGGTGCACACCCAGGGGCCCTCAGCAGCCGTGGTGTAATGGCTCATGTTTCTAGCATTAGGGTGTGATGCGGGGGAGCTAGGTGCACAGAGGACTTGCTAGAAGATCAGATGGGGCAGGGCAGGGAGGCCAAGTGGGATCACAGTGCTTGCTTGGGACTTGCTGTAGCTTATTGGCAAGAAGCGTCTTTCTCCTTACCAACACCTGGGAGTAAAGTGAAACGGGTGGGTGATCACCTTCTAGAGAAAGAGCCATCCAAAATGTCATCAGCTGCATCAGTAGGTAATGAGCTGCTTGTCAATGATGTTCACAGGGGGCTATAATGCCCTCTGTTATCCCTAGAGGGGCATCTGGCACCTGAGGGTAATTGGGCTGGATAATCTCAGAAGTTCCTTCATTCTCTGAAAGTCGAAAGTCCAGAGCAGGCTAAGCACTGGCTTGAGGCAGCCTGGAGGGTTAAAGGAGACTCTTGCCTTGTCTGAAGGTGGGGAGCCATCGAAGCCCTCTTCTTCATTTAGAATCTCAGTGCAGGCCGGGTGCAGTGGCTCATGCCTGTAATCCCAGCACTGTGGGAGGCCAAGGCAGGGGGGATCACCTGAGGTCGGGAATTCAAGACCAGCCTGGCCAACATGGTGAAACCCCGTCTCTACTAAAAAAAAATAAAAAAATAAGCCGGACATGGTAGCGTGTGCCTGTAGTCCCAGCTTCTCGGGCAGCTGAGGCAGGAGAATCGCTTGAACCCGGGAGGCGGAGGTTGCAGTGAGCTGAGACTGCGCCATTGCATTTCAGCCTGGGCGACAGAGCGAGACACCGTCTCAAAAAAAATAAAAATAAAAAAAAAAAAATAGAATCTCCGTGCAGCACTGGGCCTTGCCGGTTCTGAGGAGTCATTATCACATCTGAAAGGCAGGGGGCGGTAGTGGGTAGCACCGTGGATTCTGGAGCCAGGCTGCCTGTATTTGTATTTGACCTTCACTACTTCTAGTTTTGCGACCTCAGGCGAGTTATTTAACTTCTCCAAATATTCTTATCTGAAAAATGCAGATGATAATAGAATCCATCTTAGGGATGTTGTGAGAATTTAGTGAGATGTTGCATATAAAGTGCTTGGCACATAGTACATGCTTAAAGAATATCTGTGTTTGTTAGCATTATGATCATATTATTAATATAGGCCCATGCTGCGAGTGAACTGTCTGAGCCCTAAAGCGGCAGAGTGATGTGACCAGAGCAGCCTGCAGAGGGAGGGCCGGATTTAGTCCATTTCTCTTTGCCTAGTCACTTGTCCTTTTCCTCTCCCAGGCAAGTCACAGGGCAGGGGCTATCAGCCTTGGCTCAGACCCTCTAACTTGACTCTTGGGAAGTCCTCATCTTTCCCAACCAGCCCTCCCTGGGCTCTGCGAGCACTCCCTGGGCTCTGCGAGCACTCCCTGGGCTCTGCGAGCACTCCCTGGGCTCTGCAGACTACACAGTCTCTCTAGTCTTTGCCACTGAGTCATTTGGTCAAGATGAGTTCTCGATAAATGTTTGTGGAATGAATTAGTAAATGAGTGGGATTGATTTTTGCAACTTTACATCTTGATTTTAATCCAACAGGACAATCCACCCTCATTTTTCTTCTTCTAAAATTGTATTGGTTATTCTTGCTCATTTATCCTTTCAGCTGGACTTCAGAATCATTTTGTTGATTAAAGATAAAATAAAAAAGATTGGGGATTTGCATTTGGATGGCATGGATTTGAGGATTGGCATCATGAGGGCACCGAGTCTTCTTCCACCACTCAGGTTGGGCCTCTGTGTCTCCAGGCTCTCCTCTAGGTCCTTTGTTAGGGTTTTGGCATTTTCTGCATACAATTCTATACATTTCAAGCGAGGCTTCTGTATTGTCAGCAAATTAAAAACAGGTGCCCAGGGATGGGATGGAGTGGCAGATACAGCCACTGGCAGGGAGAGAGACAGACTTATCCATCAGAGAGGCTAAATCTGGGGCAGCAGTTGGCTGGAGGAAAATTTAGACACTCTATCTAGGTCTTTAGCCAGGAAATTAGGACAGCGGAGACCCACTGCACACAGGCCTCCCTTAATGCCGCAGCCCAGTGAAGGAGGGAGGCCTGTCAGCTGTGAACTCCCTGACTTTCTGGTATAAAATATGAATGAGACTCAGGCCCAGCCACAATGAAGGCTGTTCTGGGCAGGGAGAGAACTGTGCCTCAGTTCTTATTTTTTTGTCAGCTGCATGCTCTAGATCTGGAATAGAGCTCAGGTTCTAGTCTTTGCCACTGAGTCATTTGGTCAAAGTTTCTTCTTCCTTAACTTTCTCATGCATTGGATGGGCCCGCCTGTCTCCTGCACCTTTCCCATCTGCACTCAGGTCAGTGATTGTCTGGATGTGCCTTGAGTCACTGAGGCAATTGATGTAATGGCCCAGTGGTAAGATGAAGGTTCTCCTGTTGATTCCCATAGTCTCTTTGAGACAGCCTGGCCTAAAGAAGATATGGAACCAGGAGACCTGGATTGGAGTCTCAACTCTATCACTGATCGTGTGATGTTGGGCATGTCAGTTACCCTCTCTGAGTTTCAATTTCCCCATCTGGGATGTCTGATCAGAGTTATGCTGGCTGCTGCCTACTTCTAAGGTTGCTGCGAGGCTCAATGAAGTAGAATGCGGGGAAGTGATTTGTGAACTGGAAAGGCCCTTGTGCACTGTGTGATGTACAGTCCCGACATGCAGTCCATGCAGCAGAAAAGGCCTAGACTCTGGGAGAATGGGCAGAGCATGCAGGGGGAACCCTCTTGACTCATCTTGCCAGAGCCGGAAGACCATGCCCTTCCCTGGGTTCCTGGTCTTTGGCTCCCTCTGGCCTTATCCCTCTCACCCCTGGAGGAGGGCAGCCTGCCCACCTTTCCCCTTCTGACTGAGCTGTGAGAGCTTAGCCATGCATATGAGCAGGTGCAGGGGAAAAACCAGAAATGCCCAGGGTAGGGCAGGGTTTCTGGCAAGGTTCTTGCCACCTGGAGTGCTCACAGTCAGAATACAGACTCTGAGTTGGGAAAAATGTGCCACTACGACTGAAGCTCTTTGTCAACCTTTCTGGTGGACATTGTTCCTGGTTCTGTGATGAATGACTCACTACTTCCAGAGGTGTCCTTTGCATGATTCCTCAGTTATTGGAAAGCTCTTCCTTTCATTGAGCTGAAATGTGCCTTCTAGTGACTTTTTCCCACCCTTATACTCCTGCAACTTCAGTCAGAGCCGAGTCAGCAGAACACACGATATGGTGGAGAAAGGTTTGGATCGTGGCAGGGCTTAGCTGACAACTGTCTCTAATGGGGCTGCTAGAAACACTCAAGCCATGTTGGGCTTCAGGAACAGAAAGCTCTGGCTGCTCCAGGTTTGTAAGTGGTAACTTCCACTCTTATCATCATTCTCAGGCTACACTTGGACACTGGCTTCATTTAAGAAACATGCAGGTGAAATGGAAAGTGGAAAAGAAATGAGCAAGGAAGTGAGAATTTCTCTTTCCTTAATAAACTTTATTTTTTGGAGCAGTTTAGATTCACAGCAAAACTACGAAGCAAGTGCAGAGATTTTCCACATAACACTTGTTCTCCCACAGGCTTCCCCATTGTCAATATCCGGCACCACAGTGATACATTTGTTACAATCAATGACTCAACATTGACACACTGTCACCCAAAGTTCATAGCATACATTAGGGTTCACTCTTGGTGTTGTGCATTCTATGGATTTTGGCAAATGTATAACAACATGTATCTACCACTGTAGTATCATATAGAATAGTTTCACTGCCCTATAAATGCTGTGTTTCACTGCCCTAAAAATCCTGGTAACTGCTGATTTTTTTTCTTTCTTTCTTTCTTTTTTTTTAAGACGGTGTCTCGCTCTGTTGCCCAGGCTGCAGGGCAGTGGCGTGATCTCGGCTCACTGCAAGCTCCGCCTCCTGGGTTCAAGCAATTCTCTTGCCTCAGCCTCCCGAGTAGCTGGGACTACAGGCGTATGCCACCATACCTGGCTAATTTTTTGTGTTTTTGGAAGGGACAGGGCTTCACCATGTTAGCCAGGATGGTCTCAAACTCCTGACCTCGTGACCCCAATGCCTCAGCCTCCCAAAGTGCTGGGATTACAGGCATGAGCCACTGTGCCTGGCCACTGCTGGTCTTTTTACTGTGTCCATAGTTTTGCCTTTACCAGAATGTCATATAGTTGGAATCATATGGTATGTAGCTTTTTCAGATTGGCTTCTTTCACTTAGTAATGTGCATTCAGATTTCCTCCGTGTCTTTTTATGGCTTGATAGCTCATTTCTTTTTAGTGCTGAATATTACATTATCCCCATGTCCTACAGTTTGTTTATCTATCTCCCTACTTAAAGACATCTTGGTTGCCTCCAAGTTTTGACAATTATGGATAAAATTGCTATAAACATCCATGTGCAGGTTTTTGTGTGGACATATATTTTCAGTTTATTTGGAAAAGTAACAAGGAGTGTGATTGTTGGATTGCATGATAAAAGTGTGTTCAGTTTTGTAAGAAGTTGCCAAACTGTCTTCCAAAGTAGCTGTACCATTTTGTATTTGCAGTAGCAATGAATGAGAGTTCCTGTTGCTCCATATCCTTGCCAGCATTTGGTGTTGTCAGATATTTGGATTTTGGCTATTCTATTTTTTATTTCAGTTTTTAGTTCTTGAGACAGAGTCTTGCTCTGTTGCCCAGACTGTAGTGCAGTGGAGTGCAGCTCATTGCAGCCTTGACTTCTTGGGTTTGAGAGATCCTCTCACCTCAGCCTCCTGAGTAGCTGGGACTACAGGTGCACTCCAGCACACTTGGCTAATTATTTTTATTTTTGTTTTTATTTCTATAGAGACGGGGTTTGCCTATGTTGCCCAGGCTTCTCTTGAACTCCTGAGATCAAGTGATCTCCCCTCCTGGCCTCCTAAAGTGCTGAGATTACAGGCATAGCACTGTGCCTGGCTGATT